GGAGAGGGCTAGAGGTTATTGAATTAAAGCTAACGTTTATAGTGGGATCAGTGACAACCTGCAACACCTCATTTCTTAGCTCAGCAAACCTTACAAACACAGTCTTTCCAATGTGTTTATTAAATATCATAATTAAAACATTTAAGTTTGAATGAACTGAATCCTTAATGACACCTCTGTCATCTGCCTTAATTCTGGACCGCCGTCGTGGTCTAGTGGTAGAGCGTCAGTCCGAAGAGCGGAAGGTCGGAGGTTCGATACCCGGCCGAGTCATAACAAAAGACGTTATAAGATTGTACTTGTTGTTACCCCGTCTCTCGGTCTCATTAATGGGCTAAAACAAGGACTGGTCGGCTCGGAGTATTGTGTGTCTGAGCGGGGTATTCATGTTACACTGAATGTTCTGAATGCCCGGGGCTTTCTGGAGGAATAAACGGGTTTCCTTGTCAATGAAGGTCGCAGTTTTGTCAACATGTTAAAGAACCTTCTCACACAGTAGTATTATAATAGGTTTATAATATCAGATACCACACAGGAGGCTCATGAAACGGGTACCTCATACGATCATACACGGAGTGGCAACCTCTTTATGATACTTGGTTGGTTGGTTGGTTTGTCGTTTTACGCCGCACTCAGCAATATGACGGCTGTCTGTAAATAATCGAGTCTGGACCAAACAATCCAATGATTGATATCATGAGCACCGATCTACGCAATTGGGATTGATGACATGCTTCAACCAAGTCAGCCAGCCTGACCACCCGATCCCGTTAGTTGCCTCTTACGACAAGCATAGTCGCCTTTTACGGCAAGCATGGGTTGCTGAAGACCTATTCTACCCCGGACCTTCACGGGCGCTTTATGTTACTGTAATCGAGTGTATACCTTTTGTCACATTTGTGAAAGGCATTTTTTCCAATCTACAGGATGGACAGTTTAATTATGCCCAAAACAACAACATGAGTGTTTCAGATGACCTATCGTCCTTCAAGGTCGTTGGTGGTCATAACATTTATTGTCATACATCACTACCGTTTCCAACTCGTTTATAATAGCCATACAGCTATTACTAGAAACTAATATCTCTTACAAGTTTTGAACTTTGAAGTTCACCCCTACATTTTTAAAGAGTATATATTAGATTCATATCGATTGTACATCTATTCAAATATACCCAAATCTGCTTTACTTGAAGATAAACCTCTCACACGATCTTCGTCAGACATCTCCCAATCGCCACAACCCACACTTGGCACAGAAGCTCATATAACTTACTATGTTATAGTCACGTAATATATGCTTCTAATGTTACGTTTCGATTTCCTCGTTTATTTGCTATCTATGCACCGGCTGACATTTTGAAAGCGACTACGTGTATTAGACAAGGTGTTAAAAAACCACTGCAGCATAACAACACTGCTTTGGGCGCAGATCGATCAAGACTCGCGTGGCAACTGGATTATTTTCCACACACGTTTACGACGTAAATACAAATTGTTCCATTCTAGTCAAAGAAACGAAATGGTCCAGGAAATCATAATTTAGCATTCCTTGTGTAATCTTGGATCACAAAAGAAAGGATAAAAATAGTTGATAAAAGAAAACTACACTATAACACTTTTCTTTCTTCGTTTGTTGTCGCACTCAGCAATATTCCAGCCATATGACGGCGGTCTGTAAATAATCAAGTCAGGACCAGGCAATCCAGTGATTGACATCATGAGCATCGATCCACGCAGTTGGGATCGATGGCATGCATCAACCACGTCAGCGAGCCTGACCACCCGATCTCGTTAGTCGCCCCTTACGTAGTATAACAGTCATCTTCCCGAGGCAAGAGAGTAAACTGGCTTTAAAAGTCCAGTTTCCACCCTTGCCGAACTAGGCTCGAATTCCTGGGATCGATCGTAGCGCCACCCGTGGCTATTACGAGTTATGTCCTTTCTATGCCTCTCCTATTGACCAATCAGATTCAACCTCTCGTATCACTTGCATTTGCTTCAAATAAAACGGTGGCGCCCAGTCAAGACGATCTGATCGATAATCAAGATCTATATTGTGATAAAACGAGTCTTACATCGCGAAGTGCATCAAATCACGTGAGCACCTTGATTAAAAACAGGAAAAGATTTAGAAAATATCTGTTGACAACGAGTTAGCGGTGCACATGCTTTGCAAATCCTGCAGTCGACCGAAATCTGCATGACAGTTTACGAACCGGATTTCGATTTCGGTGCGCGATTTTGATTGAACTATGCATAGACTCGTCAGTCCAGCCAAAATGTAACTCCATAATACCAGCCTAGTTCGACAAGGGTGGAAACTGGACTTCTATAGTAAGTTAACTCACTTGCCTCGGGAAGATGTATAAAAGTATGCTGTAGGAGATAAATTATGGAAATGTGGAAAACTATTATTGGAATCGAGCATGTTATTTGTCAACTTCTAGGTACTACATCTGTGTGTGTGTGTGTCCTTTGGTAACTAATACTGAATTCTAAACGTCTCGATCGGCTGCCGAAACAGATATATCATTGGGTGAGTGTGTGGGTGAGTGTGTGTGTGAGTGAGCGGGTGTGTGAGTGAGGTGATATGGGGTTTAACGTTGCGTCCAAGCTTATTGTACTTTTATAGCGACGTGCATGCACGTGTGTGTGTGTTTGGCTGCTTGTATCAGTCCGGACTGATGTCGATTTATAGTGCCAGCCGGAGGTACCATGCCACAGTTAAACATGAATACTCCACTCAGACACAGTATACTGACTCCGAGCCGACCAGTCCTTGTTTTAGCCCCTTAATGCCGAGCGCCAGTCAGGGTAACAACAGTGTTCGAAATACCTGCCTGCCCGACCGTCCGAGACGGGTTGATTTCAACTCGGGCTGCCAGATTTTCAAATCCCCCTGCCCGACGGTCGGGTTATATTTCATATGTGAAAATATTCAAAATATTTCCCGATGATAAGCATTAATTCACATGTAAAGATGTATGATAAAATGTAACCAAAAAGATACCCCATTAGCTTATCCTGAGAAACATATGATTATAGTGGGCAGGCTAGTTTTGGTCAGGGCTGGCAAGTATTTCAGCTTGCCAGTTCTGTGGTCTGGCTGAAATTTTTGGGAGTTTCATACCCTGGTAACAACAAGTACCATCTTTTAACTTCTTTTGACGTGGCTGGGGATCGAACCCCGTATCTTCCGCTCTCCGGGCGGACGCTCTACCACTAGACCACGGGGGCGGTCGAACAGTATCCCGGACGTATCACTGTATGCCAGCAAGGACAACGGGTATGGTGCTGATTACCCAAGAAATATAATCGGGGCGAAGCGGGATTCGAACCCACGATCTTAGCTTTCTGGTGTGCCCATGGGACGCAACTGGGAACAGCAAATTGCGGCGCCTTAGACGACTGGGCCACTTTTGCTTTAAATAGCACATATCAACTAGCCATGTTCTGGCGTCCAGAAAATATATAGTATGACCAGAAATTATTGCGAATTTTAGGGATATATTTAAGTGGATATCTAGTATAAAAAACACTGACCAGCTATCAAGTGCTTGGTTTCATTCAAGAGAGACAACCCTGTTAATCCTATTTCATTAGTTTGTCAAGAGTTATCCTCCTTCGTTAACTTGCCAGCAGACGTCATTTTCAGTATGGATGATTTAGAGAAGAGGAGGTTGATGTTAGAGTATTATAACAAGGACATCAGATCAGCTAAAGTGATTTCAAGTAGAACAGGCATCCCTTTGTCCACTGTTTATCGTGTTTTGAAAAATATTGAAAGTGGAGATGGCATTGAGCACAAGAGAGGCGCAGGTAGGCCCAGAAAATTGACAGTCGGTGACAGGAGGCGGCTTGGTATTCTTGTTTCTAAAAACAAACGAAGGAGTTGAGAAAACTTAAGACTGGATATGATTGATAGAGGAACTGTGGCTGTCTGTAAGGAGACAATTATAACTGAGCTCCATGCAATAGGTTAGGAGAAAAGTCAAGGAATTCCATCACCGATCATGAAACCTGAACATTTTTTAGTTAAACATGTCACACAATGAACCAAGCCACTCATCGATACCACCCGATCCCCAATTTAGCCGGGCCCGGAATCATGCTATTGCTTTTGCACCTGAGAAAACAAAACAAAAGGAGCGAAGGTTGAACTCGTGCTTAGAGCTTAGAAATTTTAACTGGGACAATGTGATTTTCTCAGATGAAAGTTCTTTGTGGCTGTTTCCTAATACACTAATATTCCGGACCAAACAAACTGAAAAACCTTAGTATCAGCGCCCAAAGTACAGTCTAAAATTTGACGTGGGGGTGGAATATCTGTGTTAGGGGCAACGCTCCTGTGTGTATTTGAAGGGAATATGAACAGTGAGCGGGACACAGATATTCTCGAGGGACATTTACTTCCATCTGCTCTAGTATTCTATGGAAATTCTTGGATTTTTCAGCAAGAAAACGACCCATGATATGATATGATATGATATGATATGTTTTTCAAGATGGCAGCCGGCGGCCATCTTCGAATTCAAGGTCAGAATTGCTTCTAGTGTAAAAAATAACGATTCCAATGGATTTATCATGTTCAAATTAGCGGAATTTGACACCTTATATGTGTCTGTGGCTGATATTCTTCCAGAGATATACTAGTTCATGCTATTCAAAATGGCGTCGACGGCCATTTTGAATTTTGCGATCTGGCAGAGTTAGCCGTCATTTTCCAGGGGATCAAGGGAGCTCATTTTTTAGTTAAACATGTCAGTTAAACAAATCCATCATAAAAAAGGTAGGAACAAAGCGGTCACGGATTCCAGGGATATGACTCCACTAAGCATGGACATCGATCCACCTGCATGCAGTCAGGTTATGATGGCACACAATGAACCATCGTTACCACCCGATCCTCAATTTAGCCGGGCCCGGAATCATGCTATTGCTAGTGCACGAAAGAAAACAAACAATAGATGCCCCGCATGTTTTGTTAAAACTGTGCCCCTTACCTCCTGGCGACAGGTGTAGCGGGTAGCCTGACGCAGGTGAACTGTTGACAGGGCAGACAGGCTATGGAGGTCGTTGAGAGTACATCGGGATGTGGAGTTATCAAGAGGATGAGGGTGGATTCAGGTCAGCGTATAGTTATTTTTGAAATGTGCACTTTCGTTTTTGTCCCTTTTGGAATGTGTGTTTTTTGGCGATCCGATAAGCGTTAAGGCATGTTCATACAAGGACATACTGACCTTCCGCCATACTAACATTTATACATACCAATAGTTAGACGCACTGGCGTTGAGACTTGCTAGCATGTGGACAAACTGCCATCTATACATGCATAGATATCTAGCCCTGTTGACATGTGGACGTAATGAACATTCAGAAATTTAGATTTACTGACTTCGAACTTCCGGTCACGCTGACATGCAAATACAAATTCAGTTAAACCGATATCCAGACAACAGAGCGTCTGCCCAGAGAGCGGAAGGTCGGTGGTTCGATCCCACAGCCTAGTGATGCCAAAAGAAAGATGGTATTTGTTGTTGCCCTGTCTGACTCTCTGACATTAAGGGATAAGACAAGGACTAGTTGGCTCTGTTCAGTGTATTGTGTCACAGTAGGGTATCCGGGATTTAACTGCGACAAGGTATCTCAGTCGGCTACCACGATAAAACCGTCTTTAGTCTGGCGTAGTACAATAACACACACACACACACACACACACACACACACACACACACACACACACACACACACACACACACACACACACACACACAGACAGACAGACACATACAACACACACACACACACAACACACACACACACACACACACACACACACTATTGACGTCCAATATAACTGCAATAATCTTAAACGCCAAACCCCATTTCACCTCACCACACCTCTACTGACATACTAACAATAAGCTCACGACATGCTGAAGGAATATCAAGAGCGTGCATCCAACGACATTCTTATACTGTAACACACCAACGACATAGTTACAACATGCTAACGATATGCCAGCGACGTTCTATTGACCTTCTTACAATATGCTAATAACATGCTAGCATCATGCTAATGACAAGCTAACAACATACCACTGACAAGCTAACAACATGCTACTGACAAGCTAACAACATGCTACTGACAACAAACGACATACCAATGACAAGCTAACAACATGCTACTGACAAGCTAACAACATGCTAATGACAAGCTAACAACATACCACTGACAAGCTAACGACATGCTACTGACAAGCTAACAACATGCTACTGACAAGCTAACGACATGCTACCGACAAGCTAACAACATACCACTGACAAGCTAACAACATGCTACTGACAAGCTAACAACATGCTACTGACAAGCTAACAACATACCACTGACAAGCTAACGACATGCTACTGACAAGCTAACAACATGCTAATGACAAGCTAACAACATACCACTGACAAGCTAACAACATGCTAATGACAAGCTAACAACATGGTACTGACAAGCTAACGACATGGTACTGACAAGCTAACAACATACCACTGACAAGCTAACAACATGCTAATGACAAGCTAACAACATGCTACTGACAAGCTAACGACATGGTACTGACAAGCTAACAACATTGTACTGAGAAGCTAACAACATACCACTGACAAGCTAACGACATGCTACTGACAAGCTAACGACATGGTACTGACAAGCTAACGACATGGTACTGACAAGCTAACAACATACCACTGACAAGCTAACAACATGCTAATGACAAGCTAACAACATGCTACTGACAAGCTAACGACATGGTACTGACAAGCTAACAACATGCTACTGACAAGCTAACGACATGCTACTGGCAAGCTAACGACATGCTACTGACAAGTTAACAACATGCTACTGACAAGCTAACGACATGCTACTGACAAGCTAACAACATGCTATTGACAAGCTATAAACATGCTACTTACAAGCTGACGACATACCACTGACAAGCTAACAACATGCTGTTGACAAGCTAACGACATACCAATGATAAGCTAACAACATACCACTGACAAGCTAACAACATGCTACTGACAAGCTAACAACATGCTACTGACAAGCTAACAACATGCTACCGACAAGCTAACAACATACCACTGACAAGCTAACAACATGCTACTGACAAGCTAACAACATGCTACTGACAAGCTAACAACATACCACTGACAAGCTAACGACATGCTACTGACAAGCTAACAACATGCTAATGACAAGCTAACAACATACCACTGACAAGCTAACAACATGCTAATGACAAGCTAACAACATGGTACTGACAAGCTAACGACATGGTACTGACAAGCTAACAACATACCACTGACAAGCTAACAACATGCTAATGACAAGCTAACAACATGCTACTGACAAGCTAACGACATGGTACTGACAAGCTAACAACATTGTACTGAGAAGCTAACAACATACCACTGACAAGCTAACGACATGCTACTGACAAGCTAACGACATGGTACTGACAAGCTAACGACATGGTACTGACAAGCTAACAACATACCACTGACAAGCTAACAACATGCTAATGACAAGCTAACAACATGCTACTGACAAGCTAACGACATGGTACTGACAAGCTAACAACATGCTACTGACAAGCTAACGACATGCTACTGGCAAGCTAACGACATGCTACTGACAAGTTAACAACATGCTACTGACAAGCTAACGACATGCTACTGACAAGCTAACAACATGCTATTGACAAGCTATAAACATGCTACTTACAAGCTGACGACATACCACTGACAAGCTAACAACATGCTGTTGACAAGCTAACGACATACCAATGATAAGCTAACAACATACCACTGACAAGCTAACAACATGCTACTGACAAGCTAACAACATGCTACTGACAACAAACGACATAGCAATGACAAGCTAACAACATGCTACTGACAAGCTAACAACATGCTACTGACAAGCTAACAACATGCTACTGACAACAAACGACATAGCAATGACAAGCTAACAACATTGTACTGAGAAGCTAACAACATACCACTGACAAGCTAACGACATGCTACTGACAAGCTAACGACATGGTACTGACAAGCTAACGACATGGTACTGACAAGCTAACAACATACCACTGACAAGCTAACAACATGCTAATGACAAGCTAACAACATGCTACTGACAAGCTAACGACATGGTACTGACAAGCTAACAACATTGTACTGACAAGCTAACAACATGCTACTGACAAGCTAACAACATGCTACTGACAAGCTAACGACATGCTACTGGCAAGCTAACGACATGCTACTGACAAGTTAACAACATGCTACTGACAAGCTAACGACATGCTACTGACAAGCTAACAACATGCTATTGACAAGCTATAAACATGCTACTTACAAGCTGACGACATACCACTGACAAGCTAACAACATGCTGTTGACAAGCTAACGACATACCAATGATAAGCTAACAACATACCACTGACAAGCTAACAACATGCTACTGACAAGCTAACAACATGCTACTGACAACAAACGACATAGCAATGACAAGCTAACAACATGCTACTGACAAGCTAACAACATGCTACTGACAAGCTAACAACATGCTACTGACAACAAACGACATAGCAATGACAAGCTAACGACATACCACTGACAAGCTAACAACATGGTACTGGCAAGCTAACAACATGCTACTGACAAGCTAACAACATGCTACTTACAAGCTAACAACATGCTATTGACAAGCTATAAACATGCTACTGACAAGCTAACGACATCCCACTGACAAGCTAACAACATACCACTGACAAGCTAACAACATACCACTGACAAGCTAACAACATGCTACTGATAAGCTAACGACATGCTACTGAGAAGCTAACGACATACCACTGACAAGCTAACAACATGCTACTGACAAGCTAACGACATGCTACTGGCAAGCTATCGACATGCTACTGAGAAGCTAACAACATACCACTGACAAGCTAACAACATGCTACTGACAAGCTAACAACATGCTACTGACAAGCTAACAACATACCACTGACAAGCTAACAACATGCTACTGACAAGCTAACGACATGCTACTGACAAGCTAACAACATACCACTGACAAGCTAACAACATGCTACTGACAAGCTAACGACATGGTACTAACAAGCTAACAACATGGTACTGACAAGCTCAAAACATACCACTGACAAGCTAACAACATACCACTGACAAGCTAACAACATACCACTGACAAGCTAACAACATACCACTGACAAGCTAACAACATGCTATTGACAAGTTAACAACATGCTACTGACAAGCTAACAACATGCTACTGACAAGCTAACAACATGCTATTGACAAGTTAACAACATGCTATTGACAAGTTAACAACATGCTATTGACAAGCTATCAACATGCCACTGACATGTCAACATGCTAACCATATACCACCAACATGCTGACAACATGCTATGCCAGGAACGTGCTACTGACATGTTAACAATATGCTAACGACATGCTAAAGACATGCTAACGGCAAGCTAATTGTATGTTTTATGGTGTTAACATGCATAGGAGATGCTAACAATATGATTGCAACATGTTAGCGATATGCTAACGGCAAAGATATAGTGTAACAACATGCTTATGATATACTTACTTTCCAGCTAACAACACACAAGTGGAGGCCCCGGTGGTTTTGTCTGACGGGCCGAACCTATACAACATCAAGGACTCGACTATCACATTGCAGGAAACAAACTATGGTAAATTCAGAAATCAGTCATGCTCCTACCGATCTTTGTCGATAGTATCCACATATCCTCCACATATACAGTTAAGCATGATAGACTGTCAAAATTGACCAAACAAACTTCCATCAAGATTTTACCAAACACTGAATAAAGCTCACAGTAAACGTCAAAACATGTTTCACAAACGGCTCGTATATTTAAAATGAAAAACTCGTAGTACAACAGATTAAATATATTCATTCCAGAAACACCAAACTATCCATTGCAGAACATAATGGGTAAGTATACGTAACGAAATGACATCTGACTGCTTAAAAGTTGCATCGGTATTTCACCTTCACAGTGACCGCTTCACAATCTTTTATTGACATATGAGGATCCGAAAGCATCGCTGTAATAATGGGCGTTATTGTTAAAGGGTTTCCTCTTCTGACACACCCTACCAAATCTCGGTGGCAAGGCCGTTAGCACTCGGTCACCGTTTACACTATTTTGAAAAGGCTTCTTGGCAGTTATTTTTCCACCAAACTTTGTAGATTTTTAGTAATTGCATCTTAAGAACTTCTACTTCCTAAAATCAAGATCCTGATTGGAGTTATCAAGATGTCGATATGAGTCGTTTGTGTGCAGTGGTAGTGAGACTAACATTTATTGATCAATGAGTCATAGGCCTAACGGGTTTGAAATGCTACAACAACGAGGTGTCCCATACCCGGAAGATATGTCAAGAAGTGAAAAGCAATTTCTTGCTGAGGACTCATAGGTCCTTCAGTTTTTATGTCCTGGTGCAGAGTGGATGTGTTTTCATAAACCCGAAATAAGGTCATTAGACCGAAAGCGAAATGCAACTGCCATACATTAATATCAAATGGCACGGAACTTGGAAGAATACGGACACAGTGCATTAGGTATGGGTTTTCTCATACTAGAGGTTATGTCACTGGACAGGACAAACTCTGACTAGACAATAAGCATGTCCAAAAACTCCAAAGATCATAACAGTTTCATGAATTTGAACCCATGCAAAGTTGATTCTTTTCTTTTTAAGGTTCAGCCATGTATACTCAACAACAAAAGGTCCTGTGACACCAATATTTGAGTGTATTTTTCAAACAAGTAAAGTTTGGTTTTCAATAGTGTACATGAATGGAATCAAGTCACAAAAAACGCAACTGCTACAGAAAAGCATGCATTCCATGCAAAAGTCGACTTTTATGCAAGCCCCATGCAAGCCCCATGCAAGCCCCATGCAGTTCAATACCCAAGAATGGGTATAAAAACATGTGCGTTAACGGAATTCCATATCCACTGTCGAGCATCGTGCTGACAACAACCACTCAGAAAAACAACAAAATTACGCAATTATTCAACATTACGAAATGCCACGCCTATCCGAAAATGAGCGTCTGCGAGCCATTGGTATGCTTGAAGCAGGATCGAGTCAATTTGATGTTGCAAGACAATTTAACGTCCACAGAAACACCATTTGGTGTTTATGGCAACGTTGACAACAGACGAATGCAGTCAGAGACCATCCTCAGTGTGGCAGGCCACGCGTAACCAATAATAGACAAGACAACTGGATTCGAACAACACACCTACAAAATCGATTCCAGCCAGCAACAGTGACTGCAAGAAGCATCCCTGGCCTTCGACGAATATCTTCACAAACCGTACGTCGTTGCCTCAGATGTGCAGAGATTGTCGCCAGAAGACCCGCCAGACGTCCCATTTTGACAGGAAACCACCGTCAACGTCTACGTCTACGCCATGCAGTGGGGACAAGTTCTAATCACTGACGAGTCTCGTTTTCACCTCAGCTACAGTTATGGACGGATTCGAGTGTACCGACGTCGAGGTGAACGTTACGTCGATCATTGTGTCATGGAAGAAGATCGGTTCGGGGGCGGCAGCGTTATGGTATGGGGTGGGATTACAGCAAGACAGAGGACCCGTTTGATAGTGGTAGAGGGAAATCTCAATGGATAGCGCTACCGTGACGAGATCATCGGTCCTGTTGTTCTACCGTTTTTGCGTCGTCATGGCCCAGGCATGACCTTTCAACATGACAACGCCTGGCCTCATATTGCTCGACTTGTTCAGGACCCTATTCAACAAAACAACGTGAATGTCATCCCCAGGTCGCTCGCACCCCTAATCTCTTACCAATCGAGCACATGTGGGATGAGATGGATCGGCGCCTTCGACGTCAACCACGTGTTTCACAGACGCTCCAGCAGATATGGGCAGATATCCCACAGGACTTTGTGCGACGCCTGGTCTATTCCATGAGACGAAGATGTGTTGCTTGCATCACAACCAGAGGTGGACACACACGCTATTGATTTGTAAATTGACATTTTGGCATCTTCATGTTTTTTTTTATGAAATCACGCATTTTCTGAAGTCAGTATGGCAAATTAAACCATTTGAACACTTACAGGAGACTTGTATCTGTTGCAAACCGAAATTGTTTAAGATTTGTTAAAAAACATAACTTTGCATTAAATCGTATTCAATGTCACAGGAACCTTTGTTGTTCAGTATATTACTGCAGTTAACTGAAGGTAACTGAAACACAAATGCCATCTGATCGCTCCTTCCCCTCCATTATATTCACACACAATATATCCTGAACATGTGTTAAGACTTCATTGCTGTTGAACATCTGCTTTGATTTTATTTTTTTTCAGATTCTACAGAAATGATGATAAAACGTGAAGATTCTGACAAACACGTATCATCCTATGCAGAAAGGTCAGCTTTGAGGCATTTGAAAAACACTGGATGTGTATTTATCAAAGGAAGAAGCGGTACAGGGAAGTCTAGGGTTGCCCTCAGTCTCTTGTCACAGATTGAAAAAGAGACAGAAAGAAAACCTTTGCTATTATCTTTTCCCCAACAGTGGAAAGACATTCCGGTGGGTAAGCCCAAAGAGAAATATGTTGTGCTAATTGACGATATATTTGGTTCCTCCAACCTGTTTCAATCCCAGGTAGATGATTGGAGTAAGGTGCTGAAAATCATGAATGCCGTAGTAGAGAGTGGCAACATCTTCCTTGTCTTAACCTCTAGGCCAGAGATCAGTGCCCAGTGTGAGAAAAAGATGAAGACACACGAACTATTCAAACGAATCAAATGCGTCACTCTGGATGACGGCGAGTTCTCGCTCAGGGTTTCAGAGAAACAGAAACTCCTGGAGAAATACTTTGGGAGGAAGATCAGGCTATCTGAAAAAGAGATGACAGAAATTGCAGAAATGAAAACATCTCTTGGTTTTCCTCAATGCTGTACATTCTTTGCATCTAACAAATTGCCTGCATCAAAGGCAGTAAGCTTCTTCCGCAACCCTCAAGTCTGTCTGAAAGAAATTCTTGACTGTTTGAAGGAATGTGAGCCATTGAGCTACTTTGTGTTATTACTGGTGATGAGTCAAAAGGGGTTTCTAGAACACAAACTCTTAAAATCGAGGAAAGACAGAAACTTCAGTGACCTTGTAGCAGAGTTGTCTACGTTCTGTGATATTCCGGCTCCTCCGGGGTTTGGCCAAATAGCAAGTAAAGCTGTTACTCTGTCTGGCGTCTATCTCCTTAACACAAAGATTGGTTATGAATTCCAGCACCAGTCGATATATGATGCAGTTTTTCTTGACCTGGCTGATGAGGATCCAGAAATGTGCATCAAAATTTGCCCTGCACAGATGCTCGTTGAGCTGGTGAGGACACAAAGGGATGAGACTGAAGAAGATGGTGTTGTGACTCGCTTGTCAGAAGAACACTACGAGATCCTTGCCGACAGAATTACAAACATCCTTCTGTCTGAAGATGGTAGTGAGATCCTAAATCACTCTTCATTACACGACAAAGAATTTCTACCATATCTGGAGACAAAATTGGAACAAGACGTTTGCGAAGCCATAGTTAAAAGAAAAACAACTGCCTCAAGCGTCACATACTACCCAGACATATCTAAGATGATTGAACCTCATGTCCTATTTACTTATACATTTCTCCTTTCTCATATGGCGATGAAGCAAAGCACCTTGGCCAAGCACATTCTGTTGAAAACTGCAGATATCCCAGAAAAGGTTTTGAAGGAATCTATTATTTGTGCTATCTACCAAAGCCACAATGACATAATTAACATGCTACTTGACAAAGGGGCTGTTCTGGATGAACCATGCGTTAGAGCACTTTCAGCCTCCCAAAGTGTTGATGGACCGACATCGATGAGATTGCTTGATTTGATATCAACAGGATGGGAGGGCTTCCAAGATAGACTTAATATGGTTTTCTTGGCATCTCTTAATGGCAATGTGGACGTGGTCAAGAGAATCATAGACACGGCTGGGGATGGAAGCCAAGACCTTTGTTACAGATGTCTTTCTGCTTTGTTCAAAGAGATGACAAACAACACAGAGTATCACAACTTGGAATGGATGGAGAAGAGACGCCAGAGCCTTGAGGAAATACTCCACTTGTTGTTAAATCGCATTCCAGACATGGAGGAAGTAGCTCAGTTGGTGCATAAATGTGCAGGATATGTGTATCCAGTAGCTCTGAAGATAGTTATAGACAAATGCACATTCCATAAGGTTGAAATCCATAACTTGAAGGAATGTCTGCAGAAAGCGTGTGAAAATGGTGGTGGCGAGTGTGTACGCGTCATCTTGGAACATATGACCATTACGGAGGGCATCTATGACAATATTGCTGACTGCATATGCTTGTCTGCAGCATCAACCACAGACAGCTGCCTGAAGATTCAGTTGTTGTTGAATTTTATTGATAAACTTTGTGCGAACATTGGCAACATTCCATCGCACAGCCAGACACTGAATAGGATATTTGGAGTATTTACCCCGTTGACTAAAGCATCACAACAAGGCAACGTGGACACTGTGAAAATGTTGATACAGAAAGGCGCTGATGTCAACATGGAGGATGGTCAGGGATGTACACCTCTTCTCTCAGCTGTGGGTTGGGACAGCTTACCATGCGTAACAGTACTTCTTGAATTCGGAGCTCTTGTTAACAAAAGTGCATCAGATTCGCAACCAGTTTTATTGCGTGCTAACCGTCTTGACATAGTTCAGAAGCTGGTAGCTGCTAAATGTGACATAAATGCAACAGACGAAGAAGGTAAATCAGCTCTACACACAGCGGCCCTTTTCAACAACTTAGATGTTCTTAAATTTGTATGCAGCAAAGGATGCAATGTTGATCAGCCAGATGAGGGTGGTGTCACAGCATTTCACGTTGCAGCGGAATATGGGGAAGTGGATATGGTGAAATATCTGCATAAAATGCATGCTAAGCCTACAGTTGATGTTGATGGGTGGTCACTGCTTCACTATGCTTGCTTTTCGGTCAATGAAGCAATGGAAAAGGTGCAGTTTCTGGTAGACACAGTGAAAGTCCATGTTGATACAAGAGACCATGATGGCCGAACGGCACTCTATCCAGCAGTACAGACAGCAGGTTTGGAAGTGGTTGAGTTCCTTGTAGAAAGGGGTCTGAGTTTAAGGGACAGGGACAATGATGGCAACACTTATCTACATGCAGTATTCCTGAGATATTCAAACTCCATTCACGACGAGGTAGTGAAGTTCCTATTCAAGGCCAATGTGGATCCAGACTTATATAACAGTCGTGATAGAAGAACACCTCTGCATCTTGCATTAGATTCAGGATTGTGGCACTTCTTCGAGGACCAGATGATGACTTTGATTGACAGGACTTCCAATATCAATCATAGAGATTCCGAAGGGAAGACCCCCCTGCATATGGCAGCATATCATGATGCCAGTGAGCTTGTTAAGCGACTACTTGACAAAGGAGCTGACAAAGATATAAAGGATTCAAATGGTTGCAAAGCCATTGATTTGATACCTGAAGGGGGAAATGGCGAGGTGAAGGCTCTTTTGTCTCCATCTGAGTTACCAACGTGTGACTAAGCTACTTTGATAATCCTCAGTGTTCTATTGTGTGACTAAGTTACTTTGACAATCCTCATATTTATGATCGTCGGTGGTGGAACCAGGTGGTAAAAGCCTTTGTACAATTGAAATAGGAATGAATTGTGCCAGAGATGTTGTGTCAATGAAGCAAGAGATCATACGGACATTTGGAGCTTTGCAACATAAATTAAGTGTGCTCTTTTCTTAACAGACAAAACAACGGAAGCAGTTGAGGCAGTCGTAAGAGGTATAACTGCTGCCAGGTTATCATGTAGCATGTGACACTCAAGTGCACGAAACTAGTTTCAAAATCATTTTCGGTCAGTGATGGCCGAGGAAACGAAACGATTGCAAATTAAGTCCAATTTGGTTGGCACGAGATATTCTGAAAAAAACCCCATTAAAGTCGATTTCATGCAAAAACTTGGAAAGGGTGATTCAGTGATACACTGCAATCATATGAAGAGGGATAAAAATAAGAAATCACAATCTGTTTTGTAGACGTTTGTCACACCTCGTCTTCCTGAGCGCTACATTTTTTCAATCACTTCTGGGTACTACCAGCAATTAGGTGTTACAATTGTCAACAGTTTGGCAACAAGTCAAAGTCCAGTGTGTACAAATTGTAATGGGGATCATAATGTTGAAGGCTGATAGTGTGTCCAAGAGTCGAAATTGTGGAGGAAATCACAGTGCTGCGTACCGAATTCAGCGCGTCCAAGTTGATAAAAAGTCTCTATGTGGAGGCCACTCGCATTGTTAAGTTCACTCCTTTATACCTCTTACTCGTCTGTCTTTGCAGGCAGTAGTGTTGTTTCTCCTCCACCCAGTAGGGCTTCAGTTGAGATACGTACTGCACGTGCTCCCCTGTTCCACCTGCTGTTCCTATTTGTTCTTGTAAAGTGCAGGGGTCATATATTGGACTAGGTAGACCTAGGACCTTTTTGTTCGAATTCATTGCTGGCTGCTTCAATCCAACCAGCAAGGAGGACCAAATAGATAGAATCGTCTCATTTGCTAAAACGTATCTCCTGCTTGATGTCGCCAAAGATATTTGTACAGTTTACATGTTGAAAAGAAATAATGGATAAAACTCTTGTATTCCTAACTTTTTTTTTCACTGGAATGTTCAAAGACTGCTAGCTCATGGTGATAATCTTACACAATCTCAAATTATTCTAAGCTTCACGACGTTATTTGGGTCCATGGGGCCTTTCCAGTGGCCAGAGGGAAAATTTTAATATCAAAGACTACACCAGTTTCCCATGGGATTGAATAATGAGCAATCCAAATATCACGATTCGCCATAGAGGAGGCTGTGCACTATTTGTAAAATAAAATTTGTCCTTTAAAGAGTACAAGTTACCAAAACTGTTTTTGAAGCCAGTGATGGTAAGATTTTGTTTGACGAAGCTAAATCTATCACAGTGATTAATGTTTAGAACACTGGGAAAACAAATGTAAACGATAAAATTGATAGAGGATGGTAATGATCCCTCTTTCATGAGTGGCGATTTTAAGTCACAGTGTTGCGTCGGGAAGTAATAAAACAGGCTACGATAGAACAGTTGTTGACAACGTTTCAGATGGATCACTTGGTGATTGTAAATGATAGTAAAATGACCCTAATGGATTTGGGTGACGGGTGTTTTCGGTCCTGGACCTTTCGATTATATCCTCCACATTAGCTCCAAGAAGCTCCACTATGTATTCCAAGAAGATTCTCCAGGTAGTGATCACTTCCAAGTATTCACTGAAATTCAAGTCCGCTTAGATCTTCGAATGTACTCAATCCCCGTTGGAAATTTAAACTACAAACTGGTCCGATTTCTCTTCTCTTTGTGAGAAACATATTACATCTAAACTAATAAATGAAGATGTTGATGTTTCAAATGATAACATTACACATTATTGAAATATCCCAAGCAACCATTGGAAAATCGTCAAGTAAGCGTTCCACTTTCATCCCAAAGGTTTGGTGGAATGATGAATATGAAAGGGCAAGCAAAGTAAGGAAACAAGCTTACATTAGGGTTTGTGATACTTCACTTCCCTGTGACCTTAGGGAATTTCAACGTGTTGTTCGTTGCGACTAAACGCTCTAGCTGGCGCAACTATATTTCAAGTATAATTAAGAATTGAATGCCAGCACTGGTTAAGCTGTGTGAACCTCATGAAAGTTTAACCAGCGCTTTTAAATCGTTCACACTTCATGAACCCATTCAAACTGACGTTTAATTCTTATAATTTCATGCTTTGTAGTTTACTGATGTGGAATGGACTGGTGGGGATTGAACGGAATGCCCTGAAACTTGTGTGTTTTGTGTTAATATTCAACGTCAGGGCGTGTTATATTTGGAGTTTGAGATTTGTCGTGTGTGCTGTTATACTTTGCTTAGTTGGTATTTCTTGTCACCTGGGATGGAGCTACTGTATGACCTGATGCTAGCTTCATTTCTGTGCATTTCCGGCAAAAGTTTACACGATCTATTTCACACACAAAAATTCACATCGTGTGAACTTTTCTGTCCGTTCACAGTTGTGTGAACTCCAAATATCAGATCACGTGACCACCCTTTCAGCCAGTGAGCATAAAAGAAACAGTTTAAAGTATGATATTGTATAGATTTACTCCACCATCTTCTATTAAAAAAAGTATAAAAAAGTATTTGATGGTACTCTTATCCGTTATCCTATACCTGTTGTGACCAATTTCCAGAAGGCTAATGCACTATCTGAACAAAAGTAAACTTCTAGCAGCTCTGATAACTTCCAGAGGAATTTCGAAACCATATTTTTACCTGACATTTTTGCTGCTATGTTGGGCTGTAGCTCTGAATTAAACACCCAAGTCTCAAACGATGAACTGAAAGGTGCCATATTAATATTCCTCTTCTGGAACAAACGACCTATGTAATGAGATGTGTAAGCATATGCCTGATTCTGCTCTTTTAATTATCTGTTAAATGTTTGTTGGAGTTCTAGGACTATTCCTAAGGCCTGGAAACATGCCATCATTGTTCAAGTATCACCACCAGGGACCGACCAAGCTATGCCTGCTTCATACAGACCAATATCACTAACTTCCAATCTATGTAACATTATGGAAAGATTTGTCACAAATCAATTGAAGTATTTTTTCAGCCGAACAGGCTTGTCTCAAAAATGCACTCATGCTTCAGAAAGGGACGTTCATGTACTGATCATCATGTGCGAGACAAGACTGAAGCACAAAGAGCTTCATGCAATAAAGAGTATATGTTGTTCATCTTCCTCGATACTGAAAAAAGCATATGATATGATCTGGATAGAACGTCTTTTATAATTACAGAATAAAAGGGAATAAAAGGCAACATGTTCAGATGGATTCGCTCGTTTCTTTCTGGTCTTTTCAAGTTCGCAATGGCCAGGACGTTTCTGGTATGCATTATTTGACTGAAAATGGTACCCCACTGGGTAGTGTTATTAGCCCCGCGCTTTTCAATATTATGATAAATGACATTTTTTTTTACAGATTTGCCATTACATGTAGATGCAGAGTTTAATGTAGAGTTTAAATTTATTGGTGCTTAGTTTGACCAAAGACTAACATGGGGTTCTCATATATCTCATGTTGTGAACAAATGTAAGAAGGTCATAAATCTGCTGAAATGCATTGCCAGAACGAAGTGAGGTGATGATAGATCCTCAATATTATTGCATTTATACAAGGCTCAGCTATGGCTGCCAGGCCAGGTATCTGTGTCTGCCTACAAATGTCATCCAAACTTGACCGCATTCAGTCAAATGCATTGCGAATCTGCACTGGTGCCTTTGCAACTACCCAAGTTTGAGCTCTTCAGGTTGAATGCTTATAAATGCCTCGAGGCCTTCGATGTGATTTTTTGTCTCTCAAATATTATCTCAAACCAAAATCTAAAACCAAGTATAATTCAGCTAATGATATTGTTAATGCATGTGTTGAGTATGCTGTGTGCGACTGGTCACATGGCAGGGTGCCGTTTGGTTGGAGTATTCAGAAACTTGCTGCTAAGGAGTTTTTACACTGCAACCCAGCTGATTCCTCTGCATCTTCAGATGCTGCTCCTCGGCTGCTTCTGAAACCTGGGCTTTGTTGTGATCTGAATTCAACCATTAACAACAGTATGTGTCCCAGTGTTATAAAAGCTGTGTCGTTGTTTATACCTTAACATTATGCCAACTTCACACACATATTAACTGACGCCTCAAAGGATTCGCCCTTGGTTAAAACTGCTGGGGCATATAGGATTTAAGATGTTTACATCTCAAGTGTGTTCAGCCTAAATGACAATCTCCCCGTATTTAATGCTGAACTTCTGTCTATTCTTCAAGCTCTAAGGTGGGTTAATGAATATAATCATGAGGCAGTTACATTTACTAACTCCATACTTGAATATAAATAATAACTAATATTGATATTTAATATAACATATGTTCAGACAAATGATACACAGCGGGCCACACATTGTGGAGTGTATTGGTACGATGGAGGTGACGGAGTGCACAGAATACATAATACATGGAACACAGCGGGCCACACATTGTGGAGTGTATTGATGCGATGGAGGTGACGGAGTGCACAGAATACATAATACATGGAACACAACGGGCCACACATTGTGGAGTGTATTGATGCGATGGAGGTGACGGAGTGCACAGAATACATAATACATGGAACACAGCGGGCCACACATTGTGGAGTGTATTGATGCGATGGAGGTGACGGAGTGCACAGAATACATAATACATGGAACACAGCGGGCCACACATTGTGGAGTGTATTGATGCGATGGAGGTGACGGAGTGCACAGAATACATAATACATGGAACACAGCGAGCCACACATTGTGGAGTGTATTGATGCGATGGAGGTGACGGAGTGCACAGAATACATAATACATGGAACACAGCGGGCCACACATTGTGGAGTGTATTGGTTCGATGGAGGTGACGGAGTGCACAGAATACATAATACATGGAACACAGCGAGCCACACATTGTGGAGTGTATTGGTACGATGGAGGTGACGGAGTGCACAGAATACATAATACATGGAACACAGCGAGCCACACATTGTGGAGTGTATTGGTACGATGGAGGTGACGGAGTGCACAGAATACATAATACATGGAACACAGCGGGCCACACATTGTGGAGTGTATTGGTACGATGGAGGTGACGGAGTGCACAGAATACATAATACATGGAACACAGCGGGCCACACATTGTGGAGTGTATTGGTACGATGGAGGTGACGGAGTGCACAGAATACATAATACATGGAACACAGCGGGCCACACATTGTGGAGTGTATTGATGCGATGGAGGTGACGGAGTGCACAGAATACATAATACATGGAACACAGCGAGCCACACATTGTGGAGTGTATTGGTACGATGGAGGTGACAGAGTGCACAGAATACATAATACATGGAACACAGCGGGCCACACATTGTGGAGTGTATTGGTACGATGGAGGTGACGGAGTGCACAGAATACATAATACATGCAACACAGCAGGCCACACATTGTGGAGTGTATTGGTACGATGGAGGTGACGGAGTGCACAGAATACATAATACATGGAACACAGCGGGCCACACATTGTGGAGTGTATTGGTACGATGGAGGTGACGGAGTGCACAGAATACATAATACATGGAACACAGCAGGCCACACATTGTGGAGTGTATTGGTACGATGGAGGTGACGGAGTGCACAGAATACATAATACATGGAACACAGCGAGCCACACATTGTGGAGTGTATTGGTACGATGGAGGTGACGGAGTGCACAGAATACATAATACATGGAACACAGCAGGCCACACATTGTGGAGTGTATTGGTACGATGGAGGTGACGGAGTGCACAGAATACATAATACATGGAACACAGCGAGCCACACATTGTGGAGTGTATTGGTACGATGGAGGTGACGGAGTGCACATAATACATAATACATGGAACACAGCGGGCCACACATTGTGGAGTGTATTGGTACGATGGAGGTGACGGAGTGCACAGAATACATAATACATGCAACACAGCAGGCCACACATTGTGGAGTGTATTGGTACGATGGAGGTGACGGAGTGCACAGAATACATAATACATGGAACACAGCGGGCCACACATTGTGGAGTGTATTGGTACGATGGAGGTGACGGAGTGCACAGAATACATAATACATGGAACACAGCAGGCCACACATTGTGGAGTGTATTGGTACGATGGAGGTGACGGAGTGCACAGAATACATAATACATGGAACACAGCGAGCCACACATTGTGGAGTGTATTGGTACGATGGAGGTGACGGAGTGCACAGAATACATAATACATGCAACACAGCAGGCCACACATTGTGGAGTGTATTGGTACGATGGAGGTGACGGAGTGCACAGAATACATAATACATGGAACACAGCGGGCCACACATTGTGGAGTGTATTGATGCGATGGAGGTGACGGAGTGCACAGAATACATAATACATGGAACACAGCGGGCCACACATTGTGGAGTGTATTGATGCGATGGAGATGACGGAGTGCACAGAATTCCAGAATACATGGAACACAGCAGGCCACACATTGTGGAGTGTATTGGTACGATGGAGGTGACGGAGTGCACAGAATACATAATACATTGAACACAGCGAGCCACACATTGTGGAGTGTATTGGTACGATGGAGGTGACGGAGTGCACAGAATACATAATACATGGAACACAGCGGGCCACACATTGTGGAGTGTATTGGTACGATGGAGGTGACGGAGTGCACAGAATACATAATACATTGAACACAGCAGGCCACACATTGTGGAGTGTATTGGTACGATGGAGGTGACGGAGTGCACAGAATACATAATACATGGAACACAGCGGGCCACACATTGTGGAGTGTATTGGTACGATGGAGGTGACGGAGTGCACAGAATACATAATACATTGAACACAGCGAGCCACACATTGTGGAGTGTATTGGTACGATGGAGGTGACGGAGTGCACAGAATACATAATACATGGAACACAGCGGGCCACACATTGTGGAGTGTATTGATGCGATGGAGGTGACGGAGTGCACAGAATACATAATACATTGAACACAGCAGGCCACACATTGTGGAGTGTATTGGTACGATGGAGGTGACGGAGTGCACAGAATACATAATACATGGAACACAGCAGGCCACACATTGTGGAGTGTATTGATGCGATGGAGGTGACGGAGTGCACAGAATACATAATACATTGAACACAGCGAGCCACACATTGTGGAGTGTATTGATGCGATGGAGGTGACGGAGTGCACAGAATACATAATACATGGAACACAGCGAGCCACACATTGTGGAGTGTATTGATGCGATGGAGGTGACGGAGTGCACAGAATACATAATACATGGAACACAGCGGGCCACACATTGTGGAGTGTATTGATGCGATGGAGGTGACGGAGTGCACAGAATACATAATACATGGAACACAGCGAGCCACACATTGTGGAGTGTATTGGTACGATGGAGGTGACGGAGTGCACAGAATACATAATACATGGAACACAGCGAGCCACACATTGTGGAGTGTATTGGTACGATGGAGGTGACGGAGTGCACAGAATACATAATACATGGAACACAGCGAGCCACACATTGTGGAGTGTATTGGTACGATGGAGGTGACGGAGTGCACAGAATACATAATACATTGAACACAGCGAGCCACACATTGTGGAGTGTATTGGTACGATGGAGGTGACGGGGTGCACAGAATACATAATACATGCAACACAGCAGGCCACACATTGTGGAGTGTATTGGTACGATGGAGGTGACGGAGTGCACAGAAGACATAATACATGGAACACAGCGGGCCACACATTGTGGAGTGTATTGATGCGATGGAGGTGACGGAGTGCACAGAATACATAATACATGGAACACAGCGGGCC